AGAAGATATGTGAACTTAGCGGAAGACAGAGCGCCTAAAACCAAAGTAAACATCCATTGGCGAATATACACTCATCTGCAAATTAATTTGGTTCTTTCGAGAGACACCTGGAACCCAGCTGAATCTCTCGTTTACGATGTTCTCAGGCAACTGAATGTGCTGCACCAGGCCGCCTCATTACAAATATACATGTATCGCGATATTTCAAATATCGTAGCGACTGAAAAATGAGGCGGCCTGGTGCAGCATATTCAGTTGCCTGAGAACATCGTAAATGAGAGATTCAGCTGGATTCCAGGTGAGTCTCTCGAAAGAACCAAATTAGTTTGCAGATGAGTGTATATATCACCTATCTACTTCCGTTGACTTATATGTGCATGTGTATACATACTTCTGTTTGCAGCTGCCATCACACAATATTATAACCGATCAGAGCTTTCGTGACAATTAAGTAACCGGTTTCAACGCTATTTTTGGAGTGTGTTCATCTCGGGTGTTGTTTATTGACAAAACCACCTTTGATAGACGAACGAAATAAGCTATACCGTCGCTAGATCAAAGCAAGCCTATCCTATTATCATCCTTACCGAGGTGCCGGTACAGTTTTTCGCACGATTTGCAACTGGATGTCTCAAAGGATTTCACGTGTTGCTGACCACCCATTGAAATCACGTCCAATGATAGTAGCTGACGGTCAAACACGTCAACTGCAGATTGTTGTTGGACGGATCCTTGTGGGCAGACGAACCTCAAGTAATTTACCACTACGAGCTAATTAGTTGTCGGACCTCTCTCTCTTTCCATCATTAATTTACCAGTCATTCACTTTAGAAATATCGCACTTTTAGTAGTGACTTTCACTCAGTTCACAGCATCCTTTATTCGTCCACCCATTGTCGTTTTCTCCAGAAACAACCACATATCTGGTGCGGCGTCCTTACTCATCTTCAGTGCCAAGATATCTGGGCTTAAAGCAATACCAAAAGTAACCTGAACAAAACCCGTTTGGCATGTAGTTCGCAGGGATTTTCTAAACTCTGAGACAGAGACACCCCTTACTCCCTTACCTACGTTTACCCTGCCCTTTGACCGTATTGTCCTTCAGTCTTTTTCAAGTTGACGAAAACGGTATTCAGCCTACTAGATTCACTGGAATTTTTCCGATTACGGCCAAATGTGGTTAGTTTTTTCCACTGGCACGTTGTAAATATGACCAAAGTATGGCTCTAAATTTTGAAAACGGAACACCTGATCCTGTCAGGTCTGGTTTGGGTTTAGCTGACTTGCAACACCATATGAAGAACATGCAACCGTCCATTCATCACTTCATGTTCTCGCCCATTCATTCATTCATTCATTCATTCATTCAGCTGTAGCACCCTTTCGGTGCCTAGCTGCCATGCCACCAGAAGGAAGCACGAAGGCTGGGAGGATACTGCATTCATTCATTCATTCATTCATTCATTCATTCATTCATTCATTCATTCATTCATTCATTCATTCATTCATTCATTCATTCATTCATTCATTCATTCATTCACTCATTCATTTAGTTATTCATCAGTCATATCTGATGGTCTTTTTATCGTTTCTCAAACATATTATACCTGCGCCATGAATAACTTAAGTTTTGCTTCTCATTTTCTGTGAACTGGGCCCTACATTACTTGCGCAAATTTTGCATGCGGTTACAAAAGCCGGGGAAGGTAATCGGTGCTCTAGCTGAGCCATCCATAAAGTACATTTTCTTCCCCGTGCGGTCAAGAATTTGATCCCAGAGGAATGACATCAAGCCGAGACGTAATGTGGCCGACAGATAAGGCTGGAACTACAGTGGTAAGAGAAGTATATGATGCCGGCGCTCATGTTCTGCTACAGCATTTTTCGACTGTGGAAAAAGGCTCCTGTGTCATGACCTACTACCCTAACTCCTTGGGGACTACATCGGCATTAGGGGCTTACCAGTAGCACCAAATCAGATTTCCCACAAGCCACGTGCAGTTGTTCTCAAGTTTAACAGCTGTTAATTTGTCTATCAGGTTAGGATTTCAGCTATTCAGAAAGGAGTCGCGAAGCAATCATCAGATCACGTCAGAAAATTTAGTGCTTTGATGCAGCCTCGTGAACGTACAAGACAGGCGAGTGTGTGGTTGATTCAGCGGCACACGTGAGGGCTATTCGCAACAAACACTGACGTGTGCACGACCAGAGTAAATGGACTGTAACAATTACACGCATCACTCGCAGTGCCTTACATCATCAGTAGCAGAACTGAAGAATTCACTTCATTGAACATCACTGACCTAGTTCAATCAGTTAATGGTGACGTATGCACCTTACCCAAGTGACAATACAGAGGAAAGCATTTATTTCCATCAATCTAAGGAACCACGCTTTGATCACCCAAACAGCTGCCGAAATCCATCCAACAGATGATCTGTAATACAGTTACGGTGATGAAAATGCCACAGCTCCGACCTGATTGTGCAGATGAATTCCGTTTCTGTTGATTGGGCAAGTGAAACGGTGGGATCGATGGCTCAAAAGGCTTACAGCAAACTGGGTGAGGAGGAGTCAAACATCATTAGAACTGTGGGAATAAGTTATATTACGTCACACCGTGGAAATCCGTTATCAGCTTCCTCAAAAAGGTACATCCCGTTTACAAGTGAATCGAAGACTGACACTAATTGTGTTCTGTCAGAACAGTTGTCCTGATCCTTTTAACCCCAATAAAATATACAGCCTCATGATGGTGGAGGTGCAGTAATGGGTTATTTGTGCAGGTTAGTTATGGATCGAATACATTATGTCGGCAACCTCTACTACTCACATATTTTTTCTAATCTCATGCTTTCGGATGAACCGATTGTGGTAGTAGACAAAGTTGTTTACCTGGGCAGCTGTATCAGTCCCGGTGATCTCACGAAAGATGCTGTTTCCATGCGGATTGGGAAGGCTAGAGCAGCTTTAGTGAACCTGCGTCACCAGTGGTGTAGGCCTGACACCAGCTTATCCGTCAAGTAGTGAACTTACAATGTTACGGTGCGCTTTATATTGCTGTACGGATCAGAAACATGACTGCTGCGCGCCGAGGTCAAAAGACTTTCAGTGTTTGACCATTCATGTCTTCGGAGTATTATCCGGATAAGCAATGCTGAAGTACGTCGAACGGTAATCGGGAGAAATAACTCACCCTCGACAGATGAACTGATCACAGTGTATCGGTTGCGCTGGCTTGGCCACGTGCTGCGTATGCCAGTCGACCGACTTTCTCGAAGGGTTCTTTTTACACAACCACGCAGGGTGTGAAAAGGAGCCAGAGGTGGTCAAACAATGACTTGACAGCGAAGTATAAAAGCCATCACAAGCAAACACAGCTGCTTTGATCATTGCTGTCTTCCTAGACGGGGACCACGAGACGGGCTATATCAATGGTTAGAGACATCGTCAGACATGACCCATTCGCGCCCTCAATGGCGCTCGTGCATCCAAGGTATTGCCTTTATTGCATAAATTCCTTCCCAATTCCCCCACTTAACAGTCCACTGACAGTGCTGTATTTATGCACCAATTTACCAGCTCCCACCTTCAGTGCGTAGATACCTACCCCACCTCCCCAAATCACTGGTCAACCAAACTGTGACAGCTACAACCACCGTATGGAAGATGCTCGGTTATTACAATTGACAGTGATGACTTATATTTCTTGAAACTACGAGAGCAAAATTCATTAGCAACAGTGTACGTTGGATGATCTAGACATGGTATGAACGATAAAGCAACGGGGATGCCGTGATCATTTCATAAGGAAACAAAAATTCAGGAACGGCGCTGATTTTCTAGGTTTAAAATAACATTTCGGCCAAAACTTAGCTGTGAAGAACTGTAATGATACCTCTGCGGGATTAAAAGAACCTCGCGAAAGTTGAAGAATCGGAGTGGCTAGTTACAGCACGGGAGCGTTCATTAAATTAATCAGTTTGGAGCAAATGAAACAGGGCTTAAATAAAAGCCTCGCCAAAACAGTTTTTTTCAAAATTACTTCAACTACTGGTGAAATTAGCGAGCGATGCGTTTCTGGCAAATGAGGCACTTACAGTTCAGGACTCAGCGACATACAATAAATCAAAACAATGTGCAAAAGCTCCTGACTAGGATAATAAAATTCCCAGACACCTAATAAAGGTTGGCTTCACCTGCGCTAAAATCATACAAGCGGATGCTGAAAAACAGTTTCGATTCTTGCCGGGGTTTCGTTTTTGTAGGTGAATGTAGGCTTGATCGAAAACCATAGGCGTAGGTTTTAATGCCTAGTTCTCAATCCTTGACACAGTGGTGAAGCTGCAGTTCACATTGGAATGTGGCCTAAGTGGCGACCATTTATCACCAAAATGATCCCCTTGTTAGGTAAAATTACACGGAACTGCAACTTACCAGAGGTAGTTAGGTGGGTATTTTATTTGCGGCCAACCATGGGGTGCCAAAAATGATCCTAACCGATCAGGGGCCTTGCTTCGAGAGCGAAGAGTTTCGTAAGTGCTTGCAGAAGCTGGGTATCAGACGGCTAAGGACAGCACCATACTACCCGCAAACAAATGGCCTGACCGAACGTAATAACCGAACGATCAAGGAGTGGCTTGCGGCGTGTGTGCATAAGGCTTTTTTACCGGGTATAAAAGAAAACTGACTTGAAATTCGAGGACACAGCCTGCCTTATCAACCTCAAGAAAGGCGGAACCGATAGTGAGTTGTCCAAAAGTTTTCATTAAAATTGCGTTTCAGCTACTATGAAATAATGAAGGATTTCTCACCAAAGCTTTGTACGGGACAGTCATTATACGTAGTAAGAATAGGTTTTGTTGTCACCAGGATCACCAGAATCCTGGAAGGAGTGGACTGGATTCGCAGAGGCTGGGCAGTCGATGGCAAGGGCCGTTTGTAGTCACCGACTGCCGGGGGAACGTCTATACCATTCAAGATGGTCGGGGATCGAAAGTAGTGAATAGGACGCAGCTTCGCAAGTGGCATGATACACCTGAAGAGCGACCGAGCCGAAGCCAACCTGACGGAGGTAAATGAAAATCGATGGCATGCGAACGAGCTTTATGGGGTGGAGGTGTGTAACGGTGATACTACTGATTAGGGAGGCACGCGAGTAGTATGTGTTTTTCGTAGAATTTCGCTTTGCGTCGACTGAAAAATGAAATTCTGTTGCGGAATTCGTGGGGCCATTTTGTAACATTTGCTTGCATTTGGCCGACGAATGAGTGGAGGCAATGAATCTCTAGGAAGACTCGTTCGGGAGAAGATCTGTGTCCAGTTTTTGTAGCTAAGATGCAGATTAGAGTTTTGCTTCCCTGTTCAATGGTCTGTAACCGGTCAGTTGGCATTTCCGAATAAATAACTCCTCGGCGAAGGCCTTCTTCCTTTATCAGTTTTGGGGTCACGTTAGAACCTGAAACAAATGGCTAAACATGGTGAACTCAAGGCAAGGGGTAAAACAATGACCAGGCGACAGACTGCCGATCACGAAATAAGAATTAGTTTGTATGCACAGAAGGCCAGTTTCTAGTCACATCTATGGTTTTGCAGTTATCGCACTCCCCAAATGATATCAGTTTCGTTTCGTTCTAGCCATCCTGGAGTAGGCTTATTGTACTAGGTTTGCAGCAACAGCCATAAGAGAATCAAAGAAATGGACAGTGCGCTTGAAGGTAGTAGTCCTCTGGTGTAAATGAAAAGAATTCAATTTTCAATTGGGAGACGGTGGAGGCTAGTCTACTGGCCCGCCCGGAACTGCTGTATTGCTGACACACAACAGTTATCAGCTGATGATATGCTACGGTCTCGAGGACCAATGAAACGCTGATTCTACCACCTGATTTATGATGCTCTTAAACAACATTGTCAAGCCAGTGAACCTTATGATCTTTTAAATCCCAAGTAATCAATGTGGACTCTGTCACGTGACTAGGTCAATGTAGTGTCGGCCCACACATTACTGAAGCATTTGATCAGCGCTCAGATACAGCATGATGTAGTTACCCCAATTTATTTCTCCTTATGGCCACTTTATTTCCTCCTAATTAATTCTGAAGTGTACACTGAGCGAATTTCGTTCAATTCCGGCAACAGAATATGAGTATTATTGATATAGAAAACCAAGGTGGCGAAGAACTATTGGAAAAGGGCAGCAACAAAGAGAATCTGGATGCAAAAGTCAGCACAGAATTTCTAGATTCAGCCAAAGATTCTTTGGAAAATGCAGAACAGCAATCAGAAGGATCAGGACAAACTAATGTTGAAGACAAACCAGAAACGATGTTGACAACTGCTCCTAATACGCCGCCAGTATCTATACAGAGCGTCACAGACACAGTCATGGAAAAGCTGCCCAATCTAGAAGATTTGTGTCTAGGTAATTTGGATGAACACTTGCAACGCTTTCGAGAGACATTCGAAAGAGCGCTTAGCATGTCTGAATCTTATGCGAAGGATTACACAGAAAAGGCATTATCCATGGAATCTGCACTGAACGCCTTGGCCGCATACAATAAAAAGGCACTGGAACAATTGGGAAAACTCACTTTAGATGCGGTAAAGTCAAAAGAATCGTCAAACACCCCAGCAGGTGAGGTGACCTCTGAGATAAACTGGTACATTTCTTGCTTACAGCTATAAGCAGAAGAGTTTTAATGAGAGGTGTAAAAGTAAAATAGAGAGCTCCAAACATTTAAAATTGCAATCTATGTTAATTGGAAAATAGCATTTTTCTACGGCATACAGAGCATTATGTGATTTTTCATCGAATTTTTTTCATCGTCTGAAGTAGTCAGATCAACCCATTCGGTCCGTATTTCGGCTCACCCTACTTCAAGCTCTCTATATGCGGAAAGGTACAAGGTGCAACGTGTGAAGTGCAAATTAAAATGAGAACGTCAGAAAACGAACATCCGTCATATTGTTATTGTGAAACTTAGGTGATTTGCATCTTTAGAATCCTGGGTAAAGTGAACCTTCGAATTCGGCCATAATTGTTAAACACCATGAAAGGTTTTTGAAGTGACTCATCTGTGTTCTATTCGGCTGATTGTTACAAGCCTAACCAAAGATAAACAAACCATTGTTTCCGAAAACGATGGACCCGAATGCTTCCGTCCTATTGCCGAACGTTTTTATATAATTAAGGATTCTCTTTCCCGGGAAAAACTGCTGAGTATTAAACACCACAAAAGTGGATACAAACATGTATATGATATTTTTGAAATCATACTCCTCCATGTATTGATACAAATTAATTGAGATTCCATCTTCGTTTTCACTCTTAGATAGAAGTAATATTGATTTGACATCGCTATAAATCCTTATTCAAGCAAGTGGAATTACACACTGATTTTTGGCCTTTGGCTTGTTCTCTAAGCTGGGCGATTGCACAACTCAACCTGGGCTACCAATGTTTTCTTCAAATGCCAGGATGGGTGCGAATTCATCCTAAACTCATGAAGCATCTTTGTGGTGTCATTTGAGATGTCAGTCCTTGGCGGAATTTCGAAGTCTGGCTTCGAAAGACTTTTAAGCTGAGGCCGTACAAATCTAGGAAATGCTTAAGAATTTCTTTGGATGGTAAGCGGCACTTGAGAACAAAAATGTGGGAGAACTTTCTTCCCGTATATCGTTCCAGTAAATGTAAAGATTCTTCCTGGAGAAACTGACAATTTTACATAATCCATTTACTAGAACAAGCTTGCGAGAACTTTTTAGTGTGTGTTGTGCAAGCATCTTGACCGAACAGGGGATATCTGGAGGCCTTCTCCACCCTGAAGACTTTTCGCTCTTTCGAGCGGACCCACACTAGACACCTAAGAAGATCGGGTTAGCTCCACTAACCTACGTTAGAAATCAGACGAGAAAGGTACTTCGTATACGATCCTCCGCATATAAAGTATTACATGGTTGTATGTCAATCAAATGAAACTGCCACTTGAGAAGTCGTTACTCGGGGAGCGAGTCAACAACTGAGTTTCTAACATCTTATCGACCTTTGACTGTTGCGTATTCAGAAGTCTCACTAAGTTATCCTCAGAAGACAACAAACGGCTCATGACCAGACGAAGAATAGCATTATTCGAAGGTGAAACAAAAGCTGACAGTCGAAACTACACACGCTATTGCTTTTAACTAGAATGACCTATCGGCTGAATTCGATGTGCTGTCAGGCTAGCGAGCGTTCTGCTTCAGTTTTGGCTGCATCGCGGAAGCCCTATTTCTCAGCCCACATTGAACCATTTCGCCTGCAGTAAGAAAACTCCGTCGCTATGAAGATCATACAAGTATGGAAACAGCGGTACGACAAGACATTCTGCTGGCATTATTGGGGTCGAAGTAGAACATTCACGTCGACCTCTTCTTTTGGCCAAACAGAACAAATATCTAGAAGAATGCGAAACTCTATCAAGTTGGAATACGCAGCAAGCACTCGGAGAATATCGATCAGTTAAACTTATCGGTTTTACCTAAAGCCAACAACCCTGGCGGTTTTGACGGAGTTATTTAGCTGCGGTGTGTGAATAACATAGTTACCGCTGGATCTGTCGGTGACGTGTACAACAAACTTAAATAAACAGCCTGCCAGTTTAGCCAGTGAACTTGTAAATTTGCCTCCACTGATTTTAAATTATTGGGCCACAGTACATTCTGTTCCCACCTGTTTCTATGTACTTGAGGAGTCATACCGTAATAGGATGTACAACCTCCATACTAGAAAAATATCACCCCATCTCATGCACCTAGGTACTCCTCATGTGGTTGGGGGTGATGAAACCCACTATCACGCGACGTTCTCCAGTATCTCATGGAGTGTATATCAGTTTGCTCACAAGCCTAAAAGATCAACTACGGTCGTTGTGGCCTGTCAAACGCAAGAAATTTCGAAAGCACTGAAAGCCGAAGCAAATTCCTTCCCATTTGTTACATAGACTTTAGCAGTGAACTTGATTCTGTTGACCGAAATTCGTTCCTTCAAAATTCTCAGGGCACTGATGCACACTGGCAGCTTACAGGTGGCGGACTCAAGTAGAGTAAAAAACAAATACGGACGAAGTATTAGTTAACAAGAATCGCTCTCTAGCCCCTAATTCTAAGCTGGCCCATTCAGATATCTAACTCAGGTTTCGAAGCAACCCTCTAAGTCCGAATTCAGAAAAGGGTGCTAAAATTGTGGTAAACTTCGGTGTGATCAGTGGCTGGATGTCTTACGGTCAACACCCTCTCTAATGATCCTCAAGGGCCGACTCATGTCGCAAGCAGAGTGTATGCAAGCTGTCTGAATTAAGTTACACTCTAGCCTGTCATAGCAAGAGCGCACATGGTACATATTTCTGAGGATATGGTGGCTGAATTTTCTACCAAATAACTATCTATTCTATTCATTTTTTATGGGTAGTCCAATCTTCTATTCTCGCCCTTGTCCTACCCATTGTAGGGTATTCCTCAGCTGCAGTTACTTTGTGAACTGTTGAAACTTTAATTAACTTTCACGAGATGTTGTATATGGATGTTTCCCCCTCCGGTAATCTATCCTCCCGTTACCTCCTGGAAGTGTTTCCAGGTCGACATATGGAAGCATTTCCAAGTCTTCTCGACATGATCCCTCACGGCCTTTCTCGCTCCGTAAATCAAGAACTACAAACCTTTCTTCTCAGTTGCTTCATGGTCCCGCATTTGATCCAACACAAGAACTCACCCGTCTTCTAATTGTGAACTTTTTAAGATGACGTCAATATGATCCGATTCGGTTTAAACTAGCTATTCATGTAGGCGTGACTCGGTCCCAACCCAGTCCCAACCCGGCGAATTCCCCGACTTCTCGAATAATGAACCAGCAGCGTTGTGATGATCGACTGATCCCCTCTCATGACGTTCTGGTCAGGTACCGCCACGAAAGCTTAAAGCCTGCTGGACAGTTTTTGATTTTTTTTGTGGGCGTTTGCGGAATTTATAGTGAAGAATCTTCCCAATGTCACCGTTTTGAAACCTCACTTTTGCTAATGCAGATAAACTGTTTAGTCAGTGATGAATTGTGATGAGAGTGTGTTGTGGATACAACTGGGAACAGTAAAACTTGTCGCCCATGAAAGTGTCAAACGCGGGAGAGACATGCTCATCAGCAACTAGGTTTACAGATATCTAGTAAAATGGTGATCCGTTGATGCTTTTGCTCATTCTCAGCTAAAGGTTCAACAGTCTTTTCGAGCTAATCCAGCATTATGTAGTTCATATTTATGTCGCAGTACGACGTGCAACTGAGTCTCTTTGAAGGTAGAACCGAGAATTTTAAAGTAAGAAGCAGCCTATTATTATTATGTCAAAATGTGGAAGAGTGGAATATCGTGAGAACAGAAGAATATCCCTCTGAGTTGTTCCGTACGTGTTTTGTAAGCTTCGCTCGACAAAAAGGCCTCAACACATGTCACTGAAGCCTTATCTTTTACAGTGGACATTTCACCCTGGGAGCGAAGCTAACCTGTGCTGAAAAAAAAGAGAAACAATTTATAGCTGTTTAATTCAAACGCATCCAGCGTCTGTTCTGAAAATGAGACAACGCAGTCATCTCGCTTTTCTGATAATTGGAGTTCAGCTAAAGAACATGTTGATTATTCCAGCGAATCGACGGCAGTCAATGGTAATTCTTCCTAGGTGTTCTCAACACTCATGAGTAGCGTGGTTTTCACCATTCCCTGTAGCTTTTTCCATGGGTTTTTGCTCCTACCTAGGGTTTCCGTAGCCTGTAGCTACTAATGTCAGAATTTTGTTGTCTGTTCGTGTTAATAATTTTGTATCAACTCTATCCGCTTTTGAGAGTTGCTCCGGGACCGAACCGGTTTCCCTGCAACCGCAGATAAGTTCACCATTCACTATTCCAGCTCTACTCGCCAGACAGGTTTGTAACTTTCGCGTTGCATCTAACCTAATAGTGCCTATCGAGACTTTTTTAAACGGGCCTAAGTGCGCATCCCGATTTGACATATGACACATGCTGTTTCGTCACGCTACCAGATACAGACTGCAAGTAGCCTAATTTCTGCCAAATTCACCCGATGCCCGCTTTTCGGCAGTTTCCATTACCTTCCGAAAGTACTGATTGTCTTTTGAGCATGTACACAGCCTATCTACACTAACTGACTACTGGTATCTGTACGTTTGTACTTACATTCGAAAATGTGAGGAATGCCAAAATGTGAGGAATTCCCGACACCATCCTTTACTTGGTGACTATAAAATATTGACCCCAGATCCCCGCCGACTTCGTTCGAACATGTTTCTCAGTTGAACCAGTATCTGACCTAATATGAGCATCAATGTCGTCAACGGTGACATGCTCACATCGGTTTTGTAAATCCCATAAATTTATGCCGTACTTAGAAGCAATTTTTTGGTGTGAGTTGTCTGGAAACGCTTTGATACTCGTAGACTAAGACTGACCCCAGATCAGATTGCTTTCTCTGATGGCATAACTAGTTTGAGAGGATTTTTATCAATCTTCCTGTTAGACCAGTTGCCGCACTATCTCAGGCTCGGATTTCCTGTCGAGATAGTGATGACCAAGAAGTGTAAATGAGACCGAATTCATCGGCTACAGTCCATCTATTTCTGCCGCACGAATAAGATGAGTAGAAGGGGGTATGTGGGATCACTTCTTCATTCCTGAGGCACTTTGTTCGGTTATGAGAATACGGTAGTCCGTTTTACTACTACTAAGCAGGTTGAAAACGAGCAGGAGGCTGTAACTCTCGTTGAGATCAAAGTAGGGTTACATTTGAAAATTTGCTTCTATTATAAGCGTGCATATAAAGACGCGTAGTTGACTGAAATCTAGTGATTTTTTAAAAATTTTAGTTACAATCAATAATGAGTCATCCAACAAACAAATATTAGTTTTCTGTAAACTACAGTCAGCAAAGCACAGAGGGATGTATATGTCGACAATGGTTTTGGGGCCACGTAGATCTTCAGGCCACACAGCAGGTGAGAACAAGCTATGGTAAGTCAAGCAATCACTTGGCAAGTATGAATTCAGGTAACAGTAAAGTCAGCTATGCCTGCCATTGCCGCCGCCATAGGTAGGACACATCAGTGTTTAGGGGCACGGAGAGATATGGTCGAGCCGCTTTTTCAATGGCTCGCATACATCCATTTCTTTGCTATCAATGCATAGCTTCCATTCTCGATCTCCCCAACGAATAATCCGCTGAGATCCATGTAATCACTCATCAATTATACCGGCTATTTCCCCCCAATCCGTAGCTATCCACCTCTACTCCCTGCCAGAACTTCGGTGAACGAAAGTGTGGAAGCCTTAACCACTGTGCAACGTGTACCCGGCTTTTACAGCTGGAAAGAGAGAGACAGTTACGGATTTTTGAACACCGAACAAATGAAATCCTAACTAGGAGGCGAACAATCTCAGTTTAACAGGCATGACAGCTCTGACGCATCTGGTTAACCCTCAGTAACAGTAAGCTGTAGGTGTTGCATCAGTTCATCAAAACTGGATTTCATATAGGGATTTATAGCTTTACGTTCAACTACTGCTTTGTGTTTGTAGATGAGGCAGAGTTGAAGTTAGGTGAGGCCTACGTCGAGAAAGCAAAACTTTTGGTTGAAACTGCAGGGAAGCAGCTAGAATACAGTAAACAGCTTGGAGCCATCACAAGACCACTTATGTCATGGAGACTGGATGCAAGCAGGGCAGTTTGGGAGGCTCAGTCAGCTTTGAAAATCGCTGAAAAGCAGTATGACGAAATAAAGCAGCGAGCACAACTGCGCAGACCAACCCAATCACAAATACCTCGGACGGCAACCGAGTCGAAACAAGAAGAGTCGTACCAACGTACACCACAGAAGGAGCCTGTTTTGGACACCGGAAAATCCGCTGAGCCAGAGAGCACTCTACAAACCCAGCAACCACTGTTGGACCGAAGCCAAAAGCCAGAGAGGGTTTCTCGCCCAATCGAACAGGAACGTCAGCCGATCAAGTTTTGGCCTAAACACGTGTGAGTCATTCAGGTTCCAAATATGTTTTCCACCATCAGACTAAAATCAGATGTTTTCAGCAGCCTGGAGAGTAGTCTGTTATGTCAGATATGTGCATTTTATTAAAAACACATATGGGTTGTTAACCCTCCAACCGTCTGAGGAAAATGGCTGACATAGCCTCAAGAGTGGACAAATCTACTACGTGATTAGAGTACTATACACAGTTTAGTGGATAAAAACAAACCTTCACTATATGAAGAAACTACAGGAACAGTCTGTGATTTTCATAGTCTACAAGTTGTACAATTAGCAAAACTCTTCGAAGGTCTGCTGTCTGTTTCAGCCTTCTTGGTGCTCACCAGATGGGTATCGTTTCTGAGTGTTCATCGATCTCATTTTCCAGTTGAACGTGACAGTTATGAGTAAGTTGATTGATATGCTCATTTGAAGATAATCTTGATTACAGTGAGAGATTCAGCTAAATCCCCCGGTCCAAATATTTCTGCTCAGAAACCGAACAACTGGAGTCCAATTTGTGATCTATCGGGTCAGGCTTTGAAGTATCAACTATCAGCAGAGTTGTGACTAACTGGTGCTAGGTTCATGGGTCGATCACTTTCGTTTATTAGGCTGGCGTTTCTTCCAACGTGACCATCTCACCTGTGGACAAGGGAAACTCAGCGATCTAATTGGGCCAATTTTTCCTCCTGCGTGAGTTCATTTATTGCAGCCAAGTCACTCGAAAAACGTGTAGTTTGTAGTTCGACAGAATACTTGACTTCCAAAACCTACCTCCGCAATCCGCATGCAATGCAGTTTTTTCAGCGCTTGGTGGAGTGCTAGTATAGTTTCACCATCAGCTTCCGTTAGGCGGGTTGGTTTATCTGAATGTTAAGACTAAATACTAAGATTCACTGACCTACTTTCTGGTCCGGAGGGCACCAATCCGACTAATCGGTCAAATGATATTTGACGGAACTGTTCTATTGGTTTGTTCAAACCGAACATGGAAATTCTAGGTTGGGTGGAAAAATATGGAATCCGACCAATACTATCAGGATGCATAAAAAGGAATAGAGGGGTGTTTCTAGGTAGCTGTGCCTCAAGGTAGGAATAACTTAGAAAACGTAATCGCCTGTAGGGGTTAGGTTAATATCGCCGCGTCTTTTGTCGAATAGAACGTGCTTTTCCCATAAGCACAATGAACAAGTTTACCAATAGGTCAGGATAAATAAATTTTACAACCGATTGGAAAATAACAAAGTTTCAAACCAATTTGGTTTCCTAGTAATACACTACTCGTAAGGTTGCCGAAAAATCCTCGACAGACCACGACCGGTTTTGCTCTTCTTGGGGCTCATCAGGTGGGCGCCATTCCCGAGTTTCCGTCAACCTTATGTTTTACCTTAAACTAAATTGCACGAAATTAGCGAAATACACTCATTCGCAAACTATTTTGGTTTTGCGAGAGACTTACCTGGAACCCAGCCAAATCACTCATCTGTGATGTTTTTAAACAATTAAATGTGCCGCAACAGATTCCCTTGTTTTTTGGACTTGTCGAAAGCTCAGTGAGGGAGGAATGTCTGCTCACCTCTTTGGATTGACATACAAATTTGTGCAGGTGTCAGTGGGTTTAAATGATCGGCAAATTTCATCCTCTTGACATCACATCTCCTGAGACTGACGAATCTAACATGTGCGTTGAAACCTTGGTGTTCAGACGCGCACAAGCTTAGTAGCGCTGCTACATATTTAGTTATATTCAATCCAGTTCACTAGTATTACCATCACTTCGCGCAACGATTATATCGGCTAAAGCTAATAATGTGTAGCTCTCCACATCTATCTCCCCAGATTATGAACAAATAAAACTGTGTCAGCTGTAACCACTGAAAAAGATGTACGCAGTTTTTATAGCTGAAAATAGTGACGGATTTGACGTTATAGTGACGATCGTAGTGTTACACTCATTCTCTGCATGATGGCTCAGTGAAGTGCTTGTCGGTTTGGCTATAGTCCCGAGCATTATTAGCGGACAATGCCTACTTAATTACTTTTTCTTAGGGTATAGTTGTTGTTCTTCACTGTTTCTTAGCAGTCCATATCTTCGGGACACTTGAGTTATTGTGTAAGGAATGTCGTAGCTTTCATTTTCACGAAATGAGACACCGGCACAACATAATCAATACCTGATCATACCAACCGGATATGCACCTTACCGACATTTTTCTTGCTCACTCTAAATACTCACCGACCAATATATATGCTCACAGAGTTTAGCTGGAGTTTGACGTGCCTTAGGCTTGGTCGAAATATAGTCTGAGACCTCACTGGTGCCGTTTGATCCCTGGCACACAGGTGCCTTTATTTATGTGCTTCTGTTATACACTTTAAGAAACGCGGCGTGTATAAAATAACCCCTATCTTCACAATAATGCGGATGTAAAGATCCGGACGATTGCGAAGAAATCGGTGAAAATCCGCCAACCATAGTATAAGGGTGTTTTCTACACTGTAAGCCACCGAAACTTCCACAAACTGATAATTCGCGTACACATCACTTTGGTTTGTACAACCATTGGTTTAGTTATTCTAGTGAGTCCACACAAAAGGGGGAGCACCGAGCTCGAGATATGCTCTTATAAGATCTCATCAGCAGTGCATATCCTAGGCTGTGCCGCGGTTTGAACCTTGGGAATTCGACATATGGGGCATTTTACCACTACTTCACCAGCACATGCTGAATGCATCTGACTCATTGCGTCTGAATAAGCAATGCGAACAATTAGATTCGCATGCCCTTTAGACTACTTCATTCACCGGGCAGTAAACCTGGCACTACTTAAGTGCACAACATATACCTGATCATACCAACCGGATATGCACCTTACCGACATTTTTCTTGCTCACTCTAAATACTCACCGACCAATATATATGCTCACAGAGTTTAGCTGGAGTTTGACGTGCCTTAGGCTTGGTCGAAATATAGTCTGAGACCTCACTGGTGCCGTTTGATCCCTGGCACACAGGTGCCTTTATTTATGTGCTTCTGTTATACACTTTAAGAAACGCGGCGTGTATAAAATAAACCCTATCTTCACGCTAATGCGGATGTAAAGATCCGGACGATTGCGAAGAAATCGATGAAAATCCGCCAACCATAGTATAAGGGTGTCTTCTACACGGTAAGCCACCGAAACTTCCACAAACTGATAATTCGCGTACACATCACTTTGGTTTGTACAACCATTGGTTTAGTTATTCTGGTGAGTCCACACAAAAGGGGGGAGCACCGAGCTCGAGATTTGCTCTTATAAGATCTCATCAGCAGTGCATATCCTAGGCTGTGCCGCGGTTTGAACCTTGGGAATTCGACATATGAGGCATTTTACCACTACTCCACCAGCACATGCTGAATGCATCTGACTCATTGCGTCCGAATAAGCAATGCGAACAATTAGATTCGCATGCCCTTTAGACTACTTCATTCACCGGGCAGTAAACCTGGCACTAGTTAAGTGCAGCGGTCTCGTAACCAACGTTTTGAATGTTTGAGTATTCATCATTGCTTGAAAGGGATGAGTAGACAGGCTGAGCGACAAGAATCGGCAGTTAACGGCAGAACAGTTGTCAGCTCATGAATATACCCGATTCTATGGGTCCCGGGAATTCGGGCCGAACATAGTCCCTTGGACAGACAGCCTTGGCCACTACCGTCATAAAGCTGCCGAACGAATCGAACGAGACGAGTTCTTCAACAAGAAAGCGGTTAGTTTTCTTGATGGAACATTACCCATAAAGTTGCGGCAAACTCTTCGACAGTCCACGTCCAGCTTTGCACCAGGTGTGCATATCACTCCGGTTTCCATGTGCGGTTTGAACTCTTGAATAGCACCAACAAAAAGGGGTGCAGTGACATGCACCTACAAACAGTCACATCTGTGCTGACTTACCGGTGTCTGACAAGGAGACCTGTGGCAAAGCAAACGGTGCACATGAAGCCGCGAGAGAAGACGGATGGAAATCAATAAGCACACAGGCGGAGCAGGAAAGTCATCAATTATCAAGCCATTAACTTAGTAAATGGTTCCTCTGGAACAAATAGAGGTGTGCATCTCAACCCTGAGGAATAAGATTTCATTTCACACGAAATGATCGTCCAGTGACCAAGTCATTACCAGAAAATTCAGCTGCGCCTGTCATTGCCGTCTTCCTGGATGAGGACCCCGAGACGGTCCATATCAATGCTTAGAGACATTGTGAGACCTGCCCAGTCACGTCCTCAATGGTGCTCATGCATCCAAGCACTTGCCTTCAACACATAGCTCCCTTCCCAATCCCTCCTTTTAACAGTCCACCCACAGTGTTTTCTTCATGCACTAATTTATCAGCTCCCGTCTCCAGTGCGGAGCTACCTACCTCACTTCCCCAAATCATCGGTGAACGAAACTGTTGCAGCTACAACCACTGTACGATAAGTACGCAGTTATTTGACAATGATGATGATGAAGGCCAGCGTAGCTGAAGCATTGACGGTTATCGACTGAGCCGGCCCACCAAACCTTTGACATC